CTAGAGTAGCTTTGCATGAGTCACAATTAAATCTACCCTAATCTAACCCTAAGCTCTGTCTGAAATAAGCTATTTAACACCAAATCAGAGTTGCTTTCAAATCAAATCAAATCACTTTTATTGTCACATCACATGTGCAGGTACACTGGTACAGCACATGTGAGTGAAATTCTTGTGTGCGAGCTTCACAAGCAACAGAGTTGTGGAAAATACAATAATGTAACAAGCAAAATACAAGAATGGCTACATCTGAAACTAATAAATATATGTACAATATATAATAGTATATGCATGCTTTATCCTTAGTGTTGTATTTTCTGCAGGTCTGGCTCAGTACAGCGGTGACCCAAAGACTGAATGGCACCTGAACACCCACCCCACCAAAGAATCCCTGCTGAATGCTGTTGCCAACTTGCCATATAAAGGAGGAAACACCATGACAGGTTTTTTTATTTTTTATTTATTACTTTGGTCTTGCTATCACTGACATGGGTGCCAGTGTGGGAGATACATTTAATTCATTTGTATATAGTGTGCTTTCAAAGCACTTCACATACTAGGGCCGAACCCTTGGTGTGAGACTCAGCCACAGTGGAGAACGATAAGCTCACTTTTAAAAGGAAGAAACTTCAGACAGGTATGAGAAAGACAATGGACAAACTACCGGACAGAGTAGACACAAAGTTAATGAGATGCAGCAGGGCAGAAAATTCATGGAGATTGAAAGAGAGGCGAGACAAAGTCTTGTTGAATTATTACCTTGTATGCTTAACAAGGTAATAATTCAACAAGACTTTTATGTTATTACTCAGTTTTATCGGTTGAAGGTGAATGGGTTGCGTGAAGATATAAGCAGGATGATGAGGAAGAAGTGAACCAAGGAGAGACACAGAAGTAGTACAAGTTAAAAGCGACAATACACTGGGAGCAGAAGCTGAGATGAAGCTGAGCATTGAACAGCTAGAAGGAAAATCTGATATATTGCAAGATGATGATCTTCCATGGGAATCCATACTTACAACTCAAATACACCCACATAGATTAATAAAGGTCCCTCTATGAATTGCTACCTTGTTGTGATGGAGGGGTTTTAATATAATTCATTTTTATTCTATATTAATCACATTTCTTTTTGCATGAGGAAACAGACTGGAGAAAAAAGGGAAAATATATGCACTTAACATGTTTATCAAACATCTTGAACATTCACGTCAACAAAAAACTCTGTAAACATTTATCCACTCTCTCTCTGTTACTCTTGCACTTCAAGTCCTTGAAACGAGGAAC